AATCAACGTAGACTGGGTGGAAAGAGACTGTTAATGTTGTGTAGATGTAAATAGACAGAACAGGTGAGCTCCGATCAGATGAGATTATAGGATAGTGAACTGTCTAGGATGACACTAAGGCGCTTAACCTGAGGTTAGGAAGACTGTGGAGTTATCAGTAGTGAAAGTGAAATAATTTGCCTTCAATAGGTTGGATTTAGTACCAATAAGGAGCATTCGGACAACCATTCTGTAAGAGAAGAAGGTGGGAGGGAGGAATCAGGCCTACAGGAGAGATATAACTGGGTGTTATCAGCAAAACAGTGAAAGTGGAGATCAAATTTGCGGAAAATGGTACCAAGCGGGAGGATATAAATTATGAAGAGAATAGTGCCTAAGACTGAACCTTGGAGTACACCGGAAGTGACCTGGAATAGATGAGAGCAAAATGATTTAAGCTGAATAATCTGGGAGTGGTCAAAAAGATATAATTGGAACCAAGCTAGGGATGTGTCGGAGATACCAAGAGAAGAAAGTCTGTTTAGAAGGATGGAGTGAAAGATGGTGTCAAAGGCAAGCTCAGATCCAAAAAGAACGAGAATGTTGAGAAGACCAGAGTCAGCTCCGATTAACAGATCATTAGTAACTTTAAGTAAAGTGGTTTCTATACTGTGACATGAGTGAAAGCCAGATTGAAATCTCTCGTAGATATTATTATTGACCAAGTGTAAATGAAGTTGAGCTGCAACTATTTTTTCAAATATTTTAGAAATGAAGGGTAGAAATGAAATTGGACAAAAGTTGTTAAAATTGTTAGGTTCCAAGGAAGGTTTTTCCTGAAGCAATCTTGAATAAGGAGGGAACAATACCGGTAGTGAGTGAAAAGTGAATGATAGCAGAGATGAGTGGGAGTAAGGAAGAGGGGCAAGATTTTACAAGCTCTGTAGGCATAAGATCAAGATGACATTAGAGCACTTTGCTCTCGCTCTCCGACTGCAGGCTTACTTGTGGTTAAAAGTAGAATGGGAGGCAGAGCCTTCAGTTTTCAAGCGTTTTCTGTGGAACCAGCTTCCAGTTTGGATTTGGGAGACAGACACTATCTCTACTTTTAAGATTACCAAAAAGGAAAGTTTTAAGACTAAAACATATATAGTTAGGGCTGGATCAGGGGACCCCAAATCCTCCATTAGTTATGCTGTGAGAAGTGCAGGCTGCAGGGGATTCCCATAATGCATTGCATATTGTATTTATAGGCCTCTGTATTGAATCTTAATCTGTGACTGTCTTCCACAGCATGTCTTTTATCCGGTTTTCCTTCTCTCATTCCAACTGGTCCCACCCTCCCTCTTGGTGTCATTTTCTGTAATTTGATCTCTATTTTCACTGTTTTGCTGATCACACCCAGTTATATCTCTCCTCTAGGCTTGATTCTTTCCTCCCACCTTCTGCCCTTACAGAAGGCTTATCCAAATTAAAATCCTGGTTCAGTTCTAATTTTCTGAACCAACTGGTCGTGGCAGATGGCCCCGCCCCTCCCTGAGCCTGGTTCTGCTGGAGGTTTCTTCCTGATAAAAGGGAGTTTTTCCTTCCCACTGTCGCCAAAGCGCAAACACAGGGGGTCACATGATTGTTGGGGTTTTCTCTTTTGCATTATTGTAGGGTCTACTTTACAATATAAAGAACCTGGAGGTGACTGTTGTTGTGATTTGGCAGTGTATCAATAAAATAAAATTGAATAAAATTAAGTAACAAAAATCTACTCCTTTCCTTGATATTTGAGGACTGATTGCACTGCATTCCTTAGTTTAGTGGACGGATTAACAGAGGAAACAGCATTAGTGTATTTTTCTTTATTTTATATATTTTATGGGATTGTTTGTCTCATGTTATACATGCTGAACTTTATTTTGTTAATATGTTATGCTATTGTAGAGCTGCTACTGTAACACCTAAGGCTGGTAGATCTAAATCTCCCACCTGAAAGTTCTTTCAAATACAAGGGGGAGGGGAGCAAGTAAATCAGCGCTTATGGCACAGAGACCAATAAAGTCCTAAACACACTATTTATTCCAGAGAAGGAAAAAACGGAATTAACCAACACAATTTTAAAAGACCCTCTTGCAATAAAAAAAAACATTTTCTGTATGCTAAAAATCCCTGCCAACAGGAATAAATATATGCTATTCAAGAAATACTACAATACAAAGTTTCTCATACAATAAATTCCCCCCACAGTCTGGGCATGCTAAGGCAAATGTTATTTAAAACCAGGAGAGGAATTTCTCTTTCAATATCAGTCTGCCCCAGGGCAGCTGTGGCTACAACTGTAGCTGCCTCCACCAGTGTGTGAATGTGTGTGTGAATGGGTGGATGAATGGGTGTGTAAAGCGCTTTGGGGTCCCTAGGCGGGACTAGTAAAAACGCTATACAAATACAGGCCATTTACCATTTAGTCTTTCTAATCAAAGTACCCTGGGGAGGGCGTGGGAAGGTTTCCCACTATCCGTAAAAACAATCAGAAACACTTTCCAAAACATGCAACTATTGTTACATGCAGCAGCCATAAATGTTTAACTAATTTTAGTGCGTACAGGCAGTTTAAGTGCATTTACCCCCCTTTCTAATACCAGTAACATTACAAGCAGCAGCTGGTTGTCACCTTTCACTGTGCAGCAGATTCCCACCAATCACTGCATGAGCACAGGACCCCAGTGTGCAGGATGTGGTAAACCAGGATTTGAAAGTCCTATTCCACACATTTTCCTGTTACAGCCACCAAATCCTGTCTGTGATAACTGTAGTGTAATACAGTCTCTGATATTTAACTAACATCCTGTCTGAAGCACCACAGGGGAGCTCGCTGATGCAGATTTACTGATGTGGCTTTTGGGTGGCAGCTTATCCATCTGTATCCTGCATCCTGCTACCAGCTGGAAAGAATGGAGCAAACTTAAAAAAACCCAACAACTACTACTTTTTATTTCTCTGCGGAGTCAGGAACAAATAGTTGCACTAAAATCAGAGTCAGGTTTAAATGAAACCTGCCTCCACGAATACATAACATCAAGTTTGAAGGTTTTTACAAGATTGGCCTAGACAAACTCTAGAGAAAAGTTTATTTACCTAACACAGAATGGTAAATGTCAAGCAGCAGCACAACATAATTATTTCTATGCTGGAGTCGCGTGATAGAACCAGGCCATTAATCACAGCAAAGCAGCAGAAGAATTAAGGGGGAAAAAACCTTTAAAATGATGTGCCAGCTAATGAAATATCGCACAAATTCACACAAGGCTAAACAGCTTTTGCACGTCCATCATCACCATTATTCTACCGCCTGCAAAAATGTATTCATCTCATCAGCTCAATATCTTTATGTTTTTTAATGCTTACTAAATCCTCTTAACAGGACAGGGTTTATGGACTGAGTGAAGTCAGCCTGCAGGTTTTTAAAAAGCCCCTCTGACTTGTAAAAAAAAGTATTAATTTTTCATGTCTGTTTTCATCCACGAAGCACTAATTCAGCTGACACCTGCCTTTAACTTTTAAGTCATGAATCAGAAGCTCAGATGAAAAGGGGGGGGGGAAACGGCAGAAATAAAATGATGTAAGGAGTCTGGACTGCTCTCATGGGCAAAATAAACGGTACGCCCTGAGGTGCGTACGCGAGTGTGTCTCATGAGCAGCCCCCCTGCGTATAATATGTGCAAGAAACAAACCAGCCAGTCTTTGGAAAAGCAGACATACTCCAACACAGTTTTCAGACAAAATTAGACCCATCGGCACA